GCGTTTCTCGCGAGTGCCCACGCCAATATTTATGCCCCGCAGGGCTCATCCATCCAGTTGCAAGTGCCAATCGTGCGTGCAGTGTGAAACGCACCGCTGCTTCGAGGTTGTGTGTGCGTGCGGCGTAGTGGCCGGGAGGTGGGTCGAGGACGTGCTACTCTTGAGCGCAGCGTTTCGCCAAGCAGCCTTGCGGATAGGAGACGACGCTGACATTCGCGTGCAGATTGCGTTTATCACTGTGGCAGAAGGAAATGGGCTTCGTCGTTTTTATTTATTTGCTCGTGTACACTATCTTAGGTTTATCTTCCCTTGAGGTCGTCGGCTGGCCCAGAGTTCACGCCGCTGGTGTCGCTGAGAACCCTGGGTTCGAATCCAGCCAGCCAGTCATCTGTGATTATAAACGGGGTTTCTCACGTGCGGTGAAGTGATGATCTCAGCCCCGTCACCAATGTTTGCACGAAAAACGTCATCACATTACGTTTGGTTATACGCCTAATTTGGTTAAATTCCATCCCTGTGAATTAGAATAATAATATTGATTTGAATGTCATGTAATGCACGTTCCTGTCTGTGATAGGGCTGGTGGGAGAGTGTTGCACCCTAATGTATTGAACAGAGGTCACTTGAAGGGAACTCAGTTGTAGCTTTGATATCCGCTTTTTAACACTTCTCTGCGAATTTTCGGAATGGATACTCCGTCTCATGGCACTCTGTGGACAGTAAAATCGAAATAAAATAGGGGGAGGGGGGGTGGTGAAATTATGAATTGAAAAAAATATATACCGTATGTGTTTCCTCTTCTGATAAGGGTTTCGTTTTTTGTAAAGAGTCTTTGACTGTCGACCTTCGCAGCCCTTTTGTGGGAGGTCATGTCATGTGACCTTGTGGCGGCATTATACACACCTCTGCTATAGGATCTATGTTTATGACTTTGAATCAAAGATCTTCCACCAGGTTAGTGTTCTTTCGAGCCCGGCTCTTCACGAAGAAAGAAAAATTCACGTAACTACACAGAGCTTTTGATAGAACATTAGTGGCTGGTTTGCTATTTAGAATATTACACACGCAGATGACTGGCTGCACCTCCCAGTGATGTCAAATGGACGTGGCATTATATCAGCAGTAGACGAAGCGTTGTTAATAATCCCTACGTAAACCACTTTTATTTTATTTTTTTATCTCCGTTTACCTTCAATAAATGTCCAAGCATTGCACTGTTTGCCATTTTTGAAAAGCAGCTATTTCAATGCGCGCAAAGATTGCAGTATCGTCTGTTAAGACATGCATCAGACACGTTGACGAATAAAATGGTACAAAATCTGAGACTTGCGCAAAGCATGGAGAAATGCATGCCTGGATTCACATTGGAGCAATAAAGAGGAACGCATGGATTAGAGAACTAATGCAAGCTGGAAATTGTGTTGATTTGAGAAAAAAATAGGGTTTTAGGCAGGACACTTCGCTAGAATGGATGATGTTCAAATCAAGTTTTATTTATATAACCAGGTCTGAAATCAAGATAACTGAAAGCTCCCCCCTCCTCAGATAAGGAGCGCTGATCTCAGCTCATGCGCAGGTGCTGCTAGATGGATCGTTAATATTGCAGAGCTTCTGAGAGATGGCAATGGCTTGTGGGGGGAGGCCTTCATCCGGAAGTGGATGGACCATGGCTGCTGATGCCGAAGACGAAAATGTTCCCTGGTTGCAGTCTCACAAATAAATCCACCGGCTTATTGCAAACTGTTTGTTGCACAGGCTAAATACGCTAACAACCATGACACAAATAATTGTGCCCCCCCGCGAACCCTTCCATACCTGCCCTGGGTGAGGTGCGGTTTGCCCCAGACTTTTTCTGCCTACGAAGCTGCCCTACCACCACCACACAGCCCTGTGGTTTATATTTAACCGACATATATCAAGCTGTGGGCTGCATGCTGCAGAGAGAGGTTTTTCATCAGCGTGGTGACACTTGTTCATGTGAACCTGTGTCAGCTTGCACGCCCTGCTTGTTCTCATTGTGGGGGAGTGTTTGTTCTCTTTGTCGGTTTGTTGCTCATTGGGATCTTTGTTTATGAGAATTTCGAAGTTTGTAAACTGTTGAACAGTTTGCTTTATATTCGGTGTTAGCGGTGCAGGCAACGACTACACGTAAATACAAATTAGAAACGACACAAAATATCCGATCACCACCCACCCACTCTCCGGATCTGAGAGTAGACTGTTGGGTCAAGTGTCGGGTCAAGTGCTGTTTGCGAGCATCTGTTAAGATGTTCTTTGTTCATGTTTTGGTTTGTTGCGGTTGCACCTGAGTCAAGAGCCGCATGGCTCATAGGGCTACACCTAGTACATGAAACTGAAGGCCAGCATGGCAAATGACCAGAGTGGTGTGGCCTGCACCACGTCCGGGGGGGGGGTTCCTTTGTCTCCCCAGTGGTGATGTTTGCGCACTGCACTAGAGGTACTCGAGTCATACTGGTAGGAACCCACTGGTTCCACCAGCCCACAGGGGATTATTGTGTCCGTCCGTCGGGCAGGGAGGGGCTGGGTGGGGAGGGTGGGGCTGGGTGGGGAGGGGCTGGGGTCACCCCGTGGTGCCCTTATAAAACTCAACACAACGCTTGTGCCCGCCCTCACAGTCGGGCATATTTGTGGAATACACCACGCCGCCGTTGACCCTGGCCATTGACCGAGCAACCCAACGTTCCTACCAGCTCCCTCCGCAGGAATGTGTTTTAAGGCACATTTCACGGTTGCTAACCCCTGGTGGTGGTGCCATTGGCAAAGCTAACTCCGCGATGAACCAGGCGGCCTGTGTTCGATACCCGGTCAAAGCGAACATCAGTGATGAGTTCTATCTAAACCGTCGCGGGCCTCCCTTGGGTAACAGCAGCCTTAATTCGTACCTGGTGCGGTCACTAACAGCATTTGACGCTGTTGTCTGTGTAGGTTTTATGCGGGGTCTTTGTAAGCACGCACACTGGCATGCTTATGACACTCACGATAAATACTTTATGCATTTTAGGGCGGTGTATTCAATGTACTGCATTGACATATACTTGCACACGTTTAGCCTTGTTAATATTGCCACTGCCTGGACATGCAGCACTGTGCTTACAAGCACTTGTGTGTGTGTGTGTTCCAGAGCAGTGGCGGTATGGTGGTCAGCATGCTGCAATTCAATGCCATAGATATACGGGTTCAATCGACGTCCGTGACCACCAACGGCACATCATCTAATATCCAATCCTAAGCATCTTTTTCCCTGTAAATTAACTCGGCCACAATGAATTCCTGGCGTACCGGATACATACTGAATCTTCTTCTTTAGTGCTGCCTAACGGCGTGTGCGACTTCACGATGATATTGGTCCCGGTCTAGCACGGCGTGTAGAGTTTGTGCTGTTGTTAATTGTAGCCATGTTTTGATGTTACTAAGCCATGTCGTTTTTGGCCGTCCTGGTCGTTTTTTCCCTTCGATTTTTCCTTCCAGGATTTGCTTTAATAGCTGGTATTTGTGGTCGTTTCGGGCAATGTGGCCTAGGTAGTAACACTTCCTGCTAATGATGGTCTTCAGCAGTTGCCTGTCAGTGCCCATATCTTGCATAACTTGTGTATTGGTGGTTTTGGCTGTCCATGGGATTTTCAGCATTCTTCGATACAGCCACATCTCTGTATCGAAGAATGCTGAAAATCCATGGGATTTTCAGCATTCTACTGAATAAGCAATGGGTATACAAACTGACCACACTTGGCGCTTGTTACCAACCCCACCTCGTGTGTACACAGGGCTTACTAAACTAAAAACCTGCATTTTTTATTTTACCAGGTAAGGCCCACTGAGCTATGCAGCTCTTTTTCAGAAGTGACTTGGCCACGAGTGATAGCTCAACGAAGTGGCTTATCGCGTCCAAAAATTACAAGCTGCCGAACACTCTAAACGCGTGTTTCTAAATGTGAAGGGAAAAACTTGACCCAAAGAAAAATCCACGTGACCACGGAGAGAGCATTCAAACTCCAAATATACAGGTGCCAGGGTCGGGATCGAACCCACGAACGGCTGCATACCAGCCGAGGTAGTTAACATCTCGCCACCGTGGCGCCCCGCTTAACATGTGCTCACGAATGACACTGACACAGTCTAGAAGGGTAAACAAGGCCTATGTGCCTTTGTATTTTCTCAGAGTGGGCAAAAAATGAGTGGTATAACGCGATTATGAGACTTCACGATAAGGCGGTGGTACCGATGACATCGTGGAGAGGTGTCGCAGTGGGTGTTGGCACTGTGCCTTTAACCTGAGCTTGATTCCCAGCCGTCGCTAACATCAGTGGCGAGTGATACTGGTCGGTAATGACCAACATGGTGAAGTATGGTCAGGCAAACCCTATCATCCACACAGCATGGGGAGGCCTTGCTCTCTCAATGGGTTGAAAAAGGCTGTTTATTATTAACATTTTTAATGATAACGGTGGCGCGTTTATTTCTGTTTGCACACCAGTGCCAATACAAGCCATCGATGAAATTAAATAGTTTGCGTGAGCATGTGCGCGTTTACATCTGTATGTGTGTGTGCATGTACGAGTGTGTGCACTCAAATGTCTGCATGTTTGTGTGTGCGCTTGTATGTGTGCACGTGCGTGTTTGTGTGTGCGTGCGCGTGCATGTGTGTGCATATGCTTTTGTGTGTGCATACGCTTTTGTGTGCATGCGTGGGAAGCAGTGGTGCAGCGGTTAGCACACCGCGCTATAACCCGGCGACCCGAGTTTTGTTCCCGCTCAGGGACATCACCAGTGATGATATCTGAACCGGTCCTGGGCCCCCCCTATGAGTACCTGGTGCGATGTCGCTGCTATGGAGGCAAAGGCAGCCGGGCGTGGTGCTGACCACCCACCCCTCGTGCGCCGTTTCAGCCTTCGTAGGTGCTCGCTAACAGCATTTGATCCGTTAAGGCTACATGTGGGATCTTTGTGTGTGTGTGTGCGCGTGCGTACGATCCCCGCAGTTGAGGTGCTGGTGGAGTTCGACTACGAGGCCCAGGCGGATGACGAGCTGACCCTGCACGTGGGCGACATCGTCACCGCCGTGCGCAAGGACAGCGGAGGCTGGTGGGAGGGCGACCTGCACGGCCGCCGTGGCGTCTTTCCCGACAACTTTGTCAAGGTGCTGGCACTCACCGGCAGGCGGGCGATTGAGGCATGACGTCACTAGACGTGTGACATCGCTGGCGTTCGTACGCGGGCGGTCTTACTGTATGAGGCAGGAGGGTTGTGGGGGGGGCAGGTCTTTAACTCTCTGTCCATGTCCCTCTCATTGTTCTGCTGCTGCTGCTGACTCAGATAACTTGGCCACAATTTCTACTCGCAGTCAGGATGTGTGCGGTATCCGCTCGGTAAGTCGCGTGACATGCAGGGCACGGTGGCAGGACTGGTGCAGTCGTCACAGTCGTGCCTTTTGCAGTCTCCAAATCAGCGTTGACGTGTATTTTTATTATTGTCATCAATCGTATATTTGTTTTCATCCTGCATGGACCTTGGTCTCCGATGAGTCTCTCATCGTTTAGAGAAAGTTTAAGAAATTTCTTTCGGTTTTTGGGAAGCCCTGGTTGGTGAAGTAAATGAGCAATTTTTTTTAATCTCTTTTAATCGCACAATTTATTTGTTATCTTGGTATCCGTTAATTTGCGCCTGCCACAGTAATGTTAGTCCGTCGCATACCAGACGTCGCTATTCCAGTAACCCCCACGCGTCACTCCGGTTTGATCTCGCGAAGGGCTTTTTAAACAAATGTAATGACTCCACCGCTTTGGCGGACCCACAATGCAACCCGTCCTTCGTTCCCCTTCTGGAAATAAACTGGACCCATGGGGCGAAGCCCAATTCCTCGGCACTCCCCAAGCGCCCCTCCAACGTAAAGGTGACGGTGCCTGCGCGTGTTTTTGTCTCGTGCCTCCTGCTGCTGGTGGTTTAAAGCCCTCCGCTTGAGAGCATTCTAAAGATTGCCTCGAGTGCAGTGGTTCTTAACCTTTACTGCAGACTTTGCACCCCATTGCTTCTCAATCGATAAAAAAAAGTATAATACTAGCTTTACTACCCAGCTTCGCCCGGGACTTGGATTCGCCACGCCCGGCGGCCTTTGTCTCCCTAGTGGCGATGTTCACACACCACACCAGTTACTCGTTTGAGGCTGAGTCGATCAAGGGGAGGCCCAGGACCGGTTCAAATAATCGTCACTGGTGGTGGCCGTGAGCGGGAGTCGAACTCGGGTCGCCGGGTTCGTAGCGCGGCGCGCTAACCACTACACTACAATGCGTTACGCCTCCACATGCGCGGGTCACGTGACAGATTTGACATCACAGCTCACTTGCCATGCAAAAAATGTCTGCATTATTGAGGTCCCCCCCCCCCAAAAAAAAAAAACCACAAAAGTGTATTTTTATAATTTTTGCATGGTGTACAGTCTGGAAAGTACACACATCGCAAATTTCAAGTTTGTTGCATGTCGGGAAGTACGCTAAACATTTTGAACAGACACACATAATCACAACTTTGCCTTTTATATATATGGAGATTAATAAATACATAGGTTTGATGAAACAAAGTAGTTGTACTTACGTGCCCGTGCTTAATTTGTGTTTGGATGATTTACCTATTAAAATAATCTGGCATGCACCCCAGGTTAAAAACCACGGCTCTTCGAGGGTTGTTTTTCTCCGAGCTTTCTACACTGGTCAGACATCTGAGATGAGGTGGGAGTACTCGTGCGTTACCCCTCCACACGTGACCAGCCTCTTCGACCCGTGGGTGTACCAATTAGTACTGCTGGGATGGACTCAAGCCAGGGGGATTTAACAAACGTCCACGATTTTGTCTTCGATCGCCGCGATGTCCCTCACCTCCGATTCGTACGGTTTACTGCGTATGGTGTGAAAGAAGTTCAACGTACAAACCCACATACGGGTGATTGAACCAGCGACCTCGGTCTTGCAAGTCTAGCGTGCTCGTCATTGTACCATGGCAGCATGTAGAGACTGGACTAACCATTCCTCTGAGTAATGCATTGCTCTACCCACCATCGACCATTCGGAAAAAAACAAATAAGGTCGGGTTGGGGGGAGAATAAAGTTTCACCTCTGTTTTTCCACGTGTGACGTTGGACGAGAGATGTGATGGGCGAAACTCGCCGTTATCATCGGCCGATTGCTGCAACTGCCAACAAACGACGAAATCCAACGACCGCTGCCACGGTTTTCTATCAGCCCATGTGACTCATTCACATAAATTAATAAAACCCACCTTTGGCCGTCGAACGCTCGTGACTGCCTGGCTCCACGCAGCTCGCTCGGCACTCCACCCTTCCTCATTCCCGCCGCCGCCGCTGCTGCCGACAGACTGGTTCCCCCGCCTTTCCCGTGGAGTGCAAGCGCTCGCGAGGCGGGAAGGGAATGTCACCGGAGCCCTCGTTCTCCGGGACAGGGCCCTTATCTCTGGGCGTTTGCTCGTGAGGTTTCCGACGCTAGCCCGGGCCGCTCAAATCGGAGGTGGCGCTCGGACGTTTGAGCGTCCGGCCGTTCCGCCGCTGTGGCTGTAGTTGGCCGCCGCCGCCTCGTCGCAGCAGACATGAGTGAAAACGGAGCGAGCGATATGAAGGTGAGTGAAGTCGTGTTCAGACGATTTAGAGAGGGTTTGTGTGTGCGCCCCACCGGGGCCTCAGATGAGTACCTGGTGCGGTGTGTAAACATCGCCACTGGGGTGACAAAGTTCGGACGGGCGTGGTGCTGGCCACCTATCTCCTTCTGCGCCGTTCCGGCCTTAGTAGGTGCTCGCTAACAGCACTTTCTCCAACAGTCTGTTAAGGCTATACGGGGGATCTTTGCTTTTGTATTTTTTGTGCACGATCTAGCCTCTAAGTAGGGCCCATCCATTGTGGGGGTACGCAAAAATCTGTCAACTTGACCCCTCCCCCCCCCCTCCCTGTACGCACGCGGACTTTTTACACCCCCTCCCCCCCACCTGCGTACGTACACCTGACGCACTCCCCCCCCCCCCAGAATCCTATAGAATGGCTGATATTTAATCCAAGCAGAAACGATCAAGGATTAATAATATTAACGTGTCTAAGCAAACAGATAAACAGATACTCCACCGCCGGACTATCTAACTCATTTGAAGGCCAATGTAGACAAATTATTATCGAGGCTTCACCCCCCCCCCCCCCAGTTTCCTATGCGTGCATTGTCAGTAGACCCCCCATACGCAAGCGTATGCGTTTGGGTTAACCCCCCCTCCCCCCTCCATGCGTATGTACTGAGTGGATGGCCCCGTACCTGGTGCGGTGTATAAACATCGCCACTTGGGTAACAAAGTTTGGGCGGTCGTGGTGCTGGCCACCCACCAGCTGATGTGCCGTGTTCCTGCCTTTCATAGGTGCTACTCTCTAACAGCACTCGCCCCAAAAGTCTGTTGAAGGGTACCGGGGGGGTGGGGGGGGTGGGGGGGTGGGGGGGGGCGTGGGGAGATCTTTGTTTAATGTGGAGAATAGTGGCACAGTGTTGTGCGAACTCGTTTGTGTTTTCGCGCAGAAAGGGTTTCGTGCGTTTTGTCAAGGGAGCGGTGACCCAGCGTCACCGCTCTCCGTCGTGTTTTCACGCTGCGTGTTGTGCGACCATCGTGACGAACGACTCGCATTGTGCCCAGCAGCATGCGGTGGAACCCGAGTGGCACGCACCTACGTAGTCGTCGGCAAAGTGTTTTTTGTGGGCTCCCAGCATTTCGTAACGCAGAGAGGTTTTTGTGGGTGTGGTGGGGAATGGTGGCGCATGGTTTATTGGCTCGTGTGTTTCGCAATGTAGAGTGGTTTGCGTGCGTGATGGCGAGTCGTGGCACATTACTACCTGGGTTTGTTTCACCAAACATGGATCACATCGGTAGGAAAGTGATATCTGGACCGTTCTGGGCCTCCATTGGCCTTCAATGAATAGCCGGTGCAGTGTGTAAATATCGGCATTGGAAAGATGATGGTGGCATGGTGGCGGCCACACCACACACCTTTGTGTTTTATACCGATTTAAATAGGTAGTTTCGAGCAGCACGGTCACCAGCAGCCTCGGTGGAAATGCCGGGAGCTTCGCGTCCAGTGTTGGTTGGTGGGGGTCAGAGTTGCACGTTTTCAGAATAAAATGAATTGTTATGGATTTGTCTTGGTTTAACCTTATTTTTTATATGCTTAGAATTACTTGTTGGTTCTTTCGGTAAAGTCACGTAGAAAGAAATGCAATTAAATAATAATAGCATACGACGTTTCGATTGCAACACAAGCAACCATCATCAGGTACAAATGAATGAGAAACCAAAAATAGTAAACTTAGAAATAGAATGCCATACAACACAGAGTCAGCCAACACAACAGTCAACACCCCACCTGGTTGATTACGTTCTTCCAAAGATTGCAAAATTTGAGAGAGAGACAAAACACAGACCCGGAGATACACAGACATACACACAAGCAGAGAGACTCACACAGAGACAAACAGAGAGAGACACACATAGGCACACAGAAAGACGTCTCTGTGTCGAGGCCTTAAATAGAGAGGGGTGGGGCAGAGGGGGAGTTGTGAAGAATTCCTGCCCATAGGGGAGAAAGCAAATTTAGTCAAATTTGGAAGTGTAATGCAATGCAACACAGAGTCGGTTAGCACACAGTTAACGCATAGTCTGGTTGATTACGTTCTTCAAAAGATTGCTAAATTAGAAGTTAATAGACAGTCTTTCTGTGTGCCTATGCATCTCTCTCTCTGCTTGTGTGTCTGTCTGTGTGTCTCCGTGTCTGTGTTTTGTCTTTCTCTCAAATATTGCAATCTTTGGAAGAATGTAATTAACCAGGTGGGGTGTTGACTGTTTTGTTGGCCGACTGTGTTGTATGGCATTATATTTCTAAGTTTCCTATTTTTGCTTTCTCATTCATTTGTACCTGATGATGGTTGCTTGTGTTGCAATCGAAACGTCGTATTCTATTATTTAATTAAATCTCTTTCTACGTGACTTTACCGAAAGAACTAAAGAGTAATTCCTGCAATCACGAAAGCTTCGAAATACTAAGGGTTTTGGTAAAATTAAAGAATAGTTTAATTATGTTAGATACCCTTTTACATTATTAAACCAACG